CTCTGCGGACTGGTAAGGATGCTCCCTCCTCAGGTGGAGGTGATCAAAGAGCCAGCCCATGAGTTCATGATAGAGATAGTCCCTGTTCCTATTACTGGGGAACCCTCTTGGACACTGAGCTGCTACTGGCTACTTCTGTGCAGGAGTTCTAAGTTATCTCCATGCATGGTCCTTGTTTTGAGTATCAGGTCTCAGAAGAGACCCTGTGCCCAGATTTTTTGGATCTGTTGCTCTCTTCATGGAGCTCCTGTTTCCTCCAGGTCTTTCTATCTCCTCCTCCTTGCATAACATTCCTTGCACTCTGCAAGAATTTGGCCATGAATCTCAGCATAAGTTTTGATACAGCGCTGGGAAGAGTCTTTCAGAGGCCCTCTGTGGTAAGCTCCTATCCTGTTCCCTGTTTTCTCCCTCTTCTAATGTCCATCTCCTTTGCCTTTCTAAATGAAGATTGAGCATCTTACCAGGGTGCTCCGTCTTGATTGGCTTCCTTAGGTGTACAAATTTTAGCATGATTATCCGTATATTATACTTCTTTTTTTAAAATATGTGTTTAATTAATTAATTAAGTAAGTAAGTAAGTAAGTAAGTAAGTATGTATACAGTATTCTGCCTACATGAACACCTACATGCCAGAAGAAGGCACCAGACCTCATTATAGATGGTTGTGAGCTACCATATGATTGCTGGGAATTGAACTAGGACCTTTGGAAGAACAGACAGTGCTCTTAACCTCTGAGCCATCTCTTGACCCCTATATTATATTTCTTAAAAAAAAAACACTTTTATTTAAATTTTAGGGAAAGCCAAAATTGTTTGGGTGAATACAGTAAAATTCTAGGACAAAATGAAAGTCTCCTAAGAGATTTTAACAGTGGAAGTTAAGCGTCTTCTTTTGAAGTGGATTTAGGAATGGGAAACTATTCAAATTAGGTTAGGTGCAGATTAATTGGATTTTAAATAATGAGTAGCAATATGACAGACATAGGAACTATGCTGGGTGTGTGTCTCTTATCCTTGCTGTGTTGTTGGTTACTTACTGCATGTTCCCTGTTTCTGCTTAAAAGTAGGGGGATCCTTTAGATTCCCCAAGTGCAGTAATAAAAGACTAACACACGGTGGCAGAAAACGTTAAAAAATGTATGTATGGCTATTTTATTAACACCATGCAAAAAAATAAATTGGACAACATGCTCCAGCAGGTGGCCCTACACTCACAGGCAGGCAGACAGCTCTAACTGGGCTGAGTGCATTACAAAAAAGGAAAAGGGAGAGAAAGAAAAAAGGATGAGAAAGAAGGAAAGGAGAAGATGAAGCTGGGAGAGAAATATAAGGTGGGTGATATGATCAAAATATATTGTATAAACATATGGAATTCTCAAAGAACAAAAATAAATAAAAAGGCCACAAGAGATACAGGTGAGAGAAAGAAAAATAACTCTGGAAAATTCAATTATAAAATATAAAAATCAAGTATGTAGTAGCATAATATTCAGTCCTCTTTAACCCACCAAAAGCCACAGTTTCACCTTCCAAGGCAGATCTGTGTGGACAGGACTAAATTCCATAGTGGAGCAGGAGCCTGGAGTCAGGCCCAGGGCTTCAGGAAACGCTCCATCAGCCCTCCCATCCATGACCTTTGGTAACTGGCTAATCTGCTGAAATGTAGAAATGGTCTTCTTCAAAGTAGGTCTCTGGGCTTTTCCTAAGTGGACATCAATTATGTGGGTGAAAGGTCTACCCTCACTATCTAGTAATTTCCCAAAAGTCCCCATTTCTGAATAGCACCATATTCAAGATCAGGAATTCCAAATTTGGAAGGCTCAGAACCATTGACTCCATGGGAAACTGGTTATCATAATCAAAAGCAAAGTCAAAGTGACAGAATGAATAGTGTGACTCCCACAAACCCGCTGGATTGGCTAATTATTGACCATGTCCACAAATAAAATAAATAAACCTGTTGAGTCTGCACTTGATCTTTATAACCAGAAAACTTTCAGATCAAATATGTAAAACTCCAGAGGGAATTATGAAACTGTCATCCCAGGCATGAGCTAGTTTACAGAGAAGGGGGTGGGGGCTGCTCAAATATAATGCTTCTACAATCAGTATTGCCCTGACTTCAAAATCAGAAAAGGACAAACACAAAAGTTCTCAAATTTAATTTCACTTTAGAACATCATGCACTAAGATCAAGCTGTCTCTTGCTCTTGAACACAAAGCTGAATTGACAAATGAGTAAGTTACTGAAGCATAGGATTTTTGGGGATTATTGTGTGCAGGTGTGTCTCTTTATAGCCAGTTGTTGATTGCTAAACTGGAAGGGAGCCAAGTACTAGCCGGATGTTGGTATAGTTATTTCTATGACACATCACTGGTCTTATATCTTGTAAATATTCGTCCTTCCTCCCTTGTTTACTAATTGCAATAATGGCCAATATCTGGGCAGGAAGTGGAGGAACTTCTGAGGTGGGGAGGAGGGAAGACAGGAAGGAAGGAGATGCCGGGAAAAGAAAAGATTCCCAGAAAACCTAGAACCCTTGCACAGATGTAGCCTATGGCAGTTCAGTGTCCTAGTGGGTTCCCTAATAATGAATGGGAACAGGGATTATCTCTGACATGAACTGATTGGCCTGTTCTTTAATCACCTCCTCCTGAGGGGAGAGCAGCCTTACCAGGCCACAGAGGAATAAAACTCAGCCACTCCTGATGAGACCTGATAGACTAGCATCAGAAGGAAGGAGAGAAGGACCTCCCATATCAGTGGATTTGGGAAGGGGCATAGGTCGAGAAGGGGGAAGGAAGGTGGTATTAGAAGGGGTGGAGGGAGGGGTTTATGGGGGGAATACAAAGTGAACAAATTCTAATTAATAAAAGTTTAAAAAAAATCAAGTGAAAGATTAAAAATTAATTAATTAATTAGCTAATTAATTAATTAATTAATTAATTAATTAATTAAAAACAGAAAAGATTCCCTAGTGGATGTGTAGGTGAACAGACATAACAGAGTGGAGCAGAGAGGTAGAGCTAGCCACGTGGTGAGAGGTAAAGCCAGAATTAGCCGGGCTAAACTAGATAGCTGGCTGGAGACTAGCTGAAAAGGCCCTGTGTCATTATTTATAGCTCTGGCCGGTCCGAAAGTCTGGCCATACATGTTCATTTCAATTCATGACAAAATTAGGTGTTCCTCCATTGTAAAAAGACCTGAAGAAACTAAAAACAGGAAGAACAGCTCCGCATAATAAAGACTATTTACAACAAACCAAAGGCAACATTCTGCTTAATAGAGAAAAAACATTTTCCCTAACATCAAGAATGAGGCAAACCACACAGACAAGCCCTGTCTCGAAAAACAAAAACAAAAACAAAAATCCCAAAACAAAAACAAAGAAACAAACGAAATAATGAGATAAAGATGCCCATTCTGACCATTGTTATTTGAATATAATACTTGAACTCCATTGGGTGTGGTGGTGCATGCCTTTAATCCCAGCACTTGGGAGGTAGTTGCAGGTGGATCTCTGTATTTCTGAGGTCACATCATGAGATGCCATGTTGAAAGAAAAAAGAAGTACTTGAAATTCTAGTATGAGCAGATTAGAGGAATACAAACAGGAAACAAAGAGGTCAAATTACCCATTTTGCAGATGATAATGGTCTTAAAAGATCCTAAAGACTACATCAGAAGACTCTGGTATCTGATAATGTCAGAAAAGTAGTAGGATAAAAAAATATCAATATACAAATTTTACATTCACAATAGCCTCAAAGACTGAAAAAGCTACATAGAAACATAATCAAGGACCTCCATGAATAAAGCCATAAAGCCTTAAAGGAAGAAGCTGAAGAAAACACTGCAAGACAGAATGACCTCCCAACATCCAAAAAGTGGCAAAACGGTGTGAAAATGATCATATTATTAGAAGTAATTGACAGACCCTTCCTTGCTGCCTGTCCAACATGTGTAATTGTTGTTTCAGTGGAATTTGGACAAAAAGGGCCAGTTCAGGAGTTGGTGAGGCTTCCTATTGATGATTAACCAGGGTTCAGAGGTCAATCAATGAAATACAGAAGTTGTATTTCTTTTTCATCCTTTATATGCTTACCCTAATCCCCTTCTAGCAGGTTCTTTTCTTTTTACTAAATGCCTCAAAACTATAATTGATTTTTCTTACATTAACCTTCTTCACAAGCCAGTGTCATAGGGTCTTTTCAAAATAAAACATCCCTATGATCTAGAATAGAAATGCAAATGTGCTTCTCAACACACACCTAATGTCCTTCCAAAGGAACTGAGTTGCATCCTGAATAATAATCACTTCAGCATTTGAAGCAACCATCTTTAGTTGCACTGATTGTATTTGGCTTCCTAATAACCCACAGCAATAAGACTTTGCAAGTGTGCCTCTATATGAGCTTTGTGGACTTCTGTTCTAACAAGAAGATTTAGGTACAGTGACTTGTAATAGGTGATACTTTTATCTTTCTCAGTATCTTTCACATGTTTCCTTTTACACAAAAGACCAATAAAACAGATTCTCGAACAATCAGAAAGAGGAAAACTGAAGATCTCCAACCTGGACTACTCTAGTTACTCTCAAATGAGGAAAGAGAGAGATGGAGAGGTCTCATTCAAAGTAGTGCTCAGAGATTCTAGGTGAGTAGAAGCAGTGAGGTGACAAATGTCACACAATCACAGCACAGTCATGTGCTGCAAAGATTTATGGTCATTAAGGCTGAGAAAGTTCTCTCTAATTCACACCAAGCAGAGTCTATGTGCACTATGGGTTTGCATGGCCTTGACCCTTTACCAGCACCATCCACCATCTGGCACCTTTCCTGAGACTGTTGTAACTTATTTGAGTTGTCCAGAGGCCATCACTGAACGCAGTGACACTATCAAAGAACTCTTGCAAAAATTCCACTCTTCTATTTAGAAACCTTTGGCAGAGCTTCCTGTTTGCACAGAGTACTCATAAATAGCCAGGGTGGATTGGGGAAATCTCTGGAAACAGGATTAAGGAAGAGGACACCATAAGCCCTGTCCTCCTGTCCTTTCTTCCTACATCATGTGGAAGAATAGACAGGCTCTGTCATGTCTTATTTCAGTTTTTCTTGTCTTTCTGCCTTCTGCTTCCTCGTTCCATTCAGATCCGTGAGTACCACCAAGGCCTCTCCTATATCATTCCTCCTCCAATCAAAACCATTCATTTCCTTTCACAGTCCCCTCTCCGGATAACCTCCCCAAATTCTTTTTGCTTTAAAACAACAAACAATAATTATATGTGTGTGTGTTTCCCAAATCTAGAATTGCATGATTATGAATAATCTTTTTTTTGTTTAGAACTATAAAGCAATCACTGTGGCTAAACTGAGGTGTATTATGTGATTTAGAATAGCATTCTTCTTAGATACCAGGAATATCTAAAATCCCAGTGGTCAGAAAAATTCTTATTTGTTGAAACTTCCTACTTACTTTGAAAATGAGCATTTAAACTGTTGGGACTCTTGGTTGGAAATGAATAGGCTTCATTCTAACCTTGGTACAGGTGAGACTTTGGGCACACCAGAACTCTGGATGTTTGTGTCCTATAACAACACTCTTGTTAGGATCAAGGGCCTTGGATTAAACCACCAGTAGAACTTGTTTGGTGTCCAAAGTATCCACATTATTATAATTACATTCTTAGCCACTTTTTTTGTTTTGAGATCAGAAAAATATATTTATGAACCTGATGATTATGGTAAAGCAGTGATCAGATAGATTTTTAGCTATTTTGAAACAAAATCTGTAATGCTAGGAAAAGATAAAGAATGGTTTCTACAGAGAGCTTTTCACTCATGCTCAAGTGTAACATAAGTGAATTAATTATGCAACTCTGAATTTCACAGTCATATTATAAATTTGAGGGTGAAGAGTACCCAAAAATAAAAACAGGGTACTGAGTTCTTTCCCAAGAATTGAAAATGGTAATGAAGAACAGTTCTGATGAATGTTTCTGGAAAATATAAATATTACCACCATATCTTCAATTAAAGAAAACAAAAACCCGCAAGAACTTGAATGCTGGCTGCTTAGTGCAGGGACCACCTGTCACTTGAACCTGCCTTGGTGGGTGACACAGCTGATGCTGAGTTATCACCACTACAAAAATCGATAATCATCCTGCCACTCTGCTGTATCATGCTGTCAACTGCCATCTCAGGCTGAAGAAATATGGATGGCAGGGGTTACTGTGATGAAACTACAGTCTTAAGCAATGTTATCTGTCCTGTGCTGGCCCACACGCCTTCCTTTCCAGGAAGTATATGGTGCTGGTCCCTTCCCAGCTCCTCACTGAGACCCCTGAGAAAATCTGCCTCCATCTATACCATCTGAATGAGACAGTGACGGTCAGAGCCATCTTGCAGTCCAGCTGGGGAAACAGAAGCCTGTTCAATGAGCTTGTGGTCGACAAGGACTTGTTCCGCTGTGTTTCCTTTACTGTGAGTACAGAAACGTGTTCTGGTTTGTTTATACATATATGTACATATGTGTGATGATATGCATCTATAATATACATACAGATTTCTAAAAAAGATCACACTAGAAACATATCTGTGACTTCAAGACAGGAGAAACTTAGAAATTTACCCAATAGAAAAATACCATAGATTTTCACACCTAAAATGGAAAGAGCCAAATTGAAATTCAATTTCCCAAATTGAATTTTACATTACATTGAATTTTCTTAAAAGTTTAACCTCCCAGAGAAAGAGATGTTTTTCCCATGCATAGTACATTTTGCTAGTGAGTCACAAACTTTCAAGTAACACTCAGTTGATAAGGTCCAATATTCTCCTGAATAAGTGTTGGTTTCTTGTTCAGGGCCTATCCTCAAGACACAATTCCTACCACCACTGATTTATTATCTCCTAATTTCTACCACCATTAATGTATTGTCTTCCCCTCCTCCTCAGTTTCAGAGTTAAAGCTAATTTTCAGTCAAGATCATATTTACTCCATAAAAATGACTGTTTTTGTTGCTTCCATTGAATCACATACAATAGTGTGTTTTCTTTTCATACTTATTTGACATACTTATATGACACTTTTTTCCTGCACATCACGTTTAAAGAAAAAATTGATGGAACCCATCTCCTTCCTGTGATGTGGAAGGAGATGAAGTAAAAAAGGAAATCTAATTGCTGCAGAGGGTCAGACGGTGAAGGGTCTTGTCTTCCTCTCTTTCTCAGCTCCCCAGACTTTCCCTTTCTGAGGAGAAGGTGTCCCTCTCTGTCCACACCAAAGGGCCAACACATGAATTCAGCAAAAAGACGGTGGTGCTGGTGAAGAACAAAGAAAGCGTTGTCTTTCTCCAGACAGACAAACCAATGTACAAGCCAGGACAGTCAGGTATGAAGCTGCAGAGTGGGCAAAGGAATTAAGATGCTGTCCTGAACATGGCACAGAGAAGATCTGAGTCTCTGGACCTCACTAGAAAATTCTCTCTCTCTCTCTCTCTCTCTCTCTCTCTCTCTCTCTCTCTTTCCAGTCAACTTTAGGGTTGTCTCTATGGATAAAAATCTACACCCTCTGAATGAGTTGGTGAGTCTTTCACTAGTGGGCATTGGTGAGTTCATCAAGACAAAATGCTACCTTAATATTCTAATTTCCAGCCCCTTTCTAAAGTATGAGGTGATCTGGTTTTGATTCTGATCTTTTGCCTATTTACACCCCTTTCTCAGTTACAATTGGCCATTTTATGTCTTCCTGATATGTGAAAGTCCTTATTTTTCAGTCGATTCCTGATTTAGTATCTCCTTGCCACTCTATGAAAGCTAGCCAATAGGGATGATGGTTCCAGTCACTACCAGCTAGACTGTAGAATGTGAAAGCCTAAATTGGACATCAAAATCACATCCTCTCCTCCAAAGGCACAGAGATAATTTTGTCAGAGAGGGAGAAAAAACTGTAAGAAGCAGAGGTGAATACTGTCAGAGCCAGAATAAATACAAGGAACAGTCCTCTAAACACAGCATGGCAGCTGCACGTTTGTACTTACCCTTGTGTTAGCATGCACAAGCACATGCACTATCAAGCCCGACCAAAGCCTAGCATGGAGAGGGGAGATGTACATGAAGCCCCACTCCTAGCTGAGGAGCTCTTGTTAACTGACCGCTACTGGGAGAAAGTCGGTTGCCTTTAAGAGGATGGACACTGGTAAGTCAACCCTATTCCAGTGGAAGTCCACGCATCCAAGAATAAATGGGTAGTTCAAATGAAATTAATGGGTGAAAAAAAAAAGAAAATAGAGAACCGTAAGTCAGATGATTAGGGAGGGGTGGTAAATCTGGTATAAATGGAAGGAGGGTTGACTATCATTTAAAACACTGTACAGAATCTCAAAGAACTAGTTAAAAAGTAAACAATATAATAATCCACTTTTACTTAATTAGTTCTTTGAAAATAAGAAATTACTATAGACACCATTTGCTGGCAAGTCTAAAGATTCTATTAAACCAATAGTCTGCTGTGTAATTCTACCAAGGATATTTTTTCTATTTTCTACTATTATTCTTCTGTCACAACTCCAGCCTCCTCTTCCTCCATTCCCCCTAGTCTCTCCCGTAAACTCCCTTCTCCTCCAGATCTGTTTCACTTCGGAAAAGAGCAGCCTGTCCAGTGATAACAGCTGAACACATCACAACAACATGCGATAAGAATAGGCCCATGCCCTCATATCAAAGCTGAGTAAGACAACCCCGTAAAAGGAAAGGGTTCCCAAGAGCAGGCAAAAGAGTCTGAGCCATCCAGTCATCCAGCTTCTCATTCCTGGCCACCCAGACAGTATGGGGCATAAGTTCCCTCTTGTGGCTTGGGCCCAGTCCAACCTCTGGGAGCCTTGACTGGTCACAAGGATGGCCTTTCATGTGTCAAATCCTTCATTGCTAAAGGAGTCCTCAGTGAGGTCACTTTCATAGGTTCAAGGAAGTTTACACCACAATAGATTTGCACATTGTACCCTAAATGCCTCTTGTTCCCACCATCTCTCCCCATACTCTCTCTTCTTTCCTCGCCCCCCCCCCATCTGATCCTTTCTGCCTCCACTCTTACCCCACTCAAAAGATCCATTCTACTTTCCCTTCCTAGGGAGATCCCTGCATCCCCGTAAAGCCCTCCTTGTCACACAGACTCTGTGGGTCTGTGGATGACAGTGTGAATGTGCTTTACTTTATGCTTAATATCCACTTTAAGTGAGTACATGTCATGTTTGTCTTTCTGGGTCTGGGTTGCCTCACTCACAGTGATTTTTCTAGTTCCATCCTTCATTGTATACACATGTACCTGGTTCTTCTGGACAATCCCTTAATCCCTTTGTCTATCTCTGTAGGCTTCTGACACTGAAATTTCCAGTGTAGGTTGTTGGCTTAGTTAAGGTTTTATTGTTTACTGTGAAAAGACACCATGACTACGGTCACTTATATATGAAAAACAAAAACCAAAAATAATTACTTGGTGCTGGCTTACAGTTTCAGAGGTTTCATCCATTTTCATCATGGCACAAAGCATGGTGGCACGCAGGCAGATATGATGCTGGAGAAGGAGCTGAGAGTTCTACATCTTCATCTGAAGGCAGCAGAAAAAGACTGTGTGGCACACTGGGTGTAGCTTGAGCATTTGAGACCTCAAAGCCCTACCCCCTCAGTGACACATTTCCTCCACCAAGAGGATACCTACTCCAACAAGGCCACACCTCCTAATCAAGCCATTCCCTATGGCCAACCAGTCACACACATTGGTCTATGGAGGCCAAACCCATTCAAACCACCACAGTTGTTGATCACTTCCTAGTACTTTGTGTCTCTGTGTAACACATGTTCATTTGTCTGCACATGTGTGTGTGTATACACATGTGTATGTTAGCCAGGAGACAACCTTGGGTGTCAGTTTGGGGTGCTATATACCTTGAGTTCTGAGTCAGAGTTTCCCCTAGCCTGGGTTGATGATCCTAGCCTGATGGTCTGGCTAGGCTGCCTGGCCAGTGACCCCTTTAGAGCTGTCTGTCTCTGCTTCTCCAGCTAGGACTACAGCAGGTGCTTGTACCTGATTTTTATGTAGATTCTGCAGATGAAGCCCAGGTCCTTATGCTCCAGCAACTTGCATGTGACCAACTGCCTCTCTCTCCAGTCTTTCACCTCCCGGATTCATCATAGTTACAGCACTTTCATTTTTATGACGGGTAAATTTATTTCCATGAATGAATCCTTTCTACAGAATTTCATCAACTACTCTGAGATGTTTCATATAGATTTTACTATCAGGTTGCAGTTGTACAATCAGCCTAGAAATTTGATTTGGATTTTAATAACATATTGATTGCTTTGGAAACAGCATGAATCATTTAATAGTATATGTGTCTGCCTAGTGAACATATATCTATCTATTATTTTAGATTTCCTTTTATAGATTCCTTAGTAGTTTGCAATGTTCTTCTTAGGCCTATCCAATTCTTAATTGACTTATTTCCCATGTCATAGTTTTCATTAATGAATGAGTTTATAGAATTTATAATTTGTTGCCTTCATTTTCAATGCAATTAAGATTTTTCTGTGTGTGCATTATTTATTTTCCATGTCGATCTTCCTGAATTCTTTAGTCAAAATGACTTATCTTAGATTCCAAAAGGTTTTGTGTGCCAGTTATAAAGTGATCTTGCTAATAATGTGTAGGGTTCGTTACTCTTAAAGTTAATTAATTAAAGGACAGGAAAAACCTTTAACACAGCAGGCAGAAGCAGCCAGTGGAGAAAGAATTTTTTCAGAGGTGAGGAAACACACACAGCTGGCAAATGGGTGAGAGGACCCTCTGCAGAGGGGCCTGGGAAGCCCTGTCTCTCTCTCTCTCTCTGAAGGCTGGGGTCCTTAAGGATCTTTGAGATGTCTTCCTTCCTTCATTTAGGATTGATCCATTTGAACAAAGACAGAGACTTTAGGGTTAGTCTGTCCTGGTCTTGGCTTTGAACCATGTCTATCAGACTGGTCTGCTGCAGAGGTGCCTTAGCATTGGGAGGTAGAGCCCTGTGCTGGGCCTTTAGATTTTTGTCTCATACCAGGAGTGTGTGGAGGAAGCCAGAATTCCACCATTTTTATTATCTGTTTGTGCTGCCTCTTTCTGTCTACCTACTAGGAACTGGTCTAATATTTTGATTCCGTAGTCTGATAGTAACAATTTTACTTCTTCACTCACACTTTTCATAACAGTTTTCTTTGCTGGCCAGAAAGGTCAGGGCCTCCAGGACAGTACTAAAAGATATCATATGTAGGACATTTCTAAAAATTTACTTTTGTGAAAATTTCTTGTTTTAACATATGTCATATTTTATTACATCTTTTACATACTAATTAACACAGACTATAAAATAGACATGTATGAACATGTTATTTGTAATCATCAGATCTCATACATAACCAATACTCTGCTAATGAGCAAACCTTGAATGTTCATTTTATTTATTTATTTATTTGAATTAAATTTTTTATTTTTTTGTGTTCCATGTATGAATTTATTTTTATATTAATTACAGTTTATTCACTTTGTGTCCCAGTTGTAGCCCCCTCCCTCATTCCTTCCCAATCTCACCCTCCCTCTCTCATCTCCTCCCATGCTCCTCTTCAAGTCCACTGATAGGGGAGATCCTCCTCCCCTTCAACCTGACCCTAGCTTATCAGGTCTTATCAAGACTGGCTGTGTTGTCCTCCTCTGTGGCCTGGCAAGGCTGCTTCCCATTCCAGGGGACTGGGATTGGTCATAGAGCCAGCCGTTCATCTCAGAAAGACAAACGGGATGGACAGGAAAAATAGGAAACAGGACAGGAGCCTACCACAGAGGGCTTCTGAAAGACTTTACCGAACAGTGTATCAAAGCAGATGCTGAGACTCAAAACCAAACTTAGGGCAGAGTGCAGGGAATCTTATGAACAAGGGAGAAATAGTAAGACCTGGACAGGACAGTAGCTCCAGAAGGAGAGCAACAGAACCAAAATTTCTGAATAAAGGGTTCTTTTCTGAGACTGATACTCCAACCAAGGAACATTCATGGATATAGCCTAGAACCCCTGCTCAGATGTAGCCTACGATAGCTCAGTATCCAAGTGAAAATTTCTTACTTCACAGATTTGCTTACTTTTCAATGTCAAGTGACTTTTTTGTTGTTGTTGTTGTTGTTGTTACATGATTTCATTGTGTAATCCTGGCTAGCCTGGAATGGGCTATATAGCCCAGGCTGGCCTTGATTCAAAGAGCTCAGCCTGCCTCTGCCTCCTGAATGCTGGTATTCAAGTGTGTGCCATTAGGCCTGCCTGGCTCAAGTGATATTTTCACAGCCTGTTAAGAGAACTACTGCCTCTTTCTTGCTTGCTTCATCCTGATCTTATAGAATTCAAACTGCCGTTTGCACCCTCTTCCTCTTCTTCAGAACCTAAAGGTGAGAGTGAGAGCAGGAAAGAGAAGAAGAACCTAAGTGCCAATTAGTTCAGAGGGTCAGGAAACAAGGCACACAGTGAGAGATCAGCAGAAAATGGAGGGTGCCTAGTGTCCTGGACCCAGGTCACACTGCAAATAGTGTTTAAACTTATGTTTCTTAATCGGTTTATAAAGCAGTAAGTTTCCACATAGCTTTTTTATAGATCCTTAGTTTTGGCTAACCCTCCCACCCTCCCCTCTCTTCTCTCCCATCGACACATCATCTATGCTTAAGTCTACCTGTGCTTTGATGTCATCTCCATCAAGCATCTCTCCTATCTTGAGGAATTTTCCACCCCAGTGACCCTCTTCTACTTTCCTTGATTCCACAGGTGTGCTCCAGGTCAAACACATAACTCTACATGTCCACAGTGATGATGACAGATAAGAAAGAACACACATCAGTTGTCTTTCTGAGCCTGGCTTACAATTATAATTTTTTCAAGTTTTATCCATTTGCCTGAAAATTTTTTGATGTCACTTTTTATAGCTGAATAGACCCTCATCGCATACACGTGTACCACACTTTCATCATCCATTGTCATGACCTAATTTTCTGTACTTTCAGAAACCAGTCCTATATCACTAAATCTCCCTTACAACTGCCTTATCAGCTGCTCCCTTATCAGCTGCTAGAAATGGCTGTGTTCTTTAAACATGTGGTCAAGTTTAAATGAACCTGAAATAAGCCTGCCTCTGCAGACGGCTCAGTTACAACAGAATCTTAAATGACCTTGTCAGCATCTGTCTTTACTGTAGACTTCATCCAGTTATTCAGAACCATGTCTTCTGCAAAACCTGCCAAAAACATGCCACTCTTGCCTTCGTCAGCATCAATTCTCCTTTGAAGCAAGAGCAGCTATTGAGGCCTTTCTTCATTTATATTACTCTGGCAATAGTTAGGCATCTGTTAAAATTCTTCAAAAGATACATTGAGAACACCTGCTAATCCCTTTATAGCCCATTATGAGGAATGGGAAGCCAGTGCCTTGCCCAGGACACCCCCAAGATATACATTAGGATTGTATATATGTTAAAAGTTATTAATATTTAATATTGATTTATATTTTAGTAAAGCAGCATTTACTTCCTAAACAGCTATGTACCCAAATAACCACACACAGAGAATAGGATTTATTTATTTATTGTATTAGACTACTGTAATACGCTCTGCAATAATTACTCCATCCTGAAACTCCAAGCTAGTATAGCTTTCTCCCGTGCAGATTTACCAAATTTTACTTGCTTTTTGATCATATCCTAGGTCTAGTTGATTTTCTTGATGTGTATTGGTCCTCTTCCAACAGATCTAATCTCTCTTCCTGACTTTCTCTTCCCCTCATCATACCAGGATATCCCACACTATTCTGTGTGCTGCGCAGCATTGGCAAGTTGGCTTTTATTGTCAATCAATACAGAGAACAGTGACATGTTTACACAAACTTGAGACAGGAGATGCTTAGAATTAATGTCACAATGCAATGTCTAGATTGAACGCAGATAGTAGGGTAGAGAAATCAGCATTTGAATGAACAAGGGTAAACTGGACATAAGAACATTATGCCAATATATATTTAAAACTAATAACTCCATTTCACACTGCAAATATCCTGATTTAAACAGTAAAATTTATAATCTCCAGACTGTAAAGGCTCAGGGTGTGTCTTATAGCACATCAGAGAAATCTTACTGATAATATCCCACAGTTTCATTTCCCACAGTCCCTATTGATTGAGTGATTTGTATGACTCAGGTAGTTCTAGAACATATACTTAAAATTTCTCTGTGGTGGTTAATTGGCTTACAACTAACTTCGTAATGGAGATTACGTCCATCCACTCTAACTGAAACTACCATGCTAAAAACCAGTCTATAAATGTATGGAATCTGCTGCCTGTGTGAAATTTCTTGACCATTGGTTCCCAAACTTCCTAATGCTGCGATCCTTTAATACACTTTCTCATGTTGTGGTGACCCACAACCATAAAATTATTTTCTTTGCTATTTCATAACTGTAATTTTGCTACTGATATGAATCATAACGTTTTGGAGACAGGTTTTCCAAAGGGGTCACCACCCTCTGTTCTGAACTAACACTGCTTTCCCTTTTGTTTCAGTTTCCTGTGGTTTACATTGAGGTAAGAAGCTTCAGTGTTCATATTCAGAGAGAACTCAATCCACTGAAAGTACCTTGATGCTGGGGTGTTGTAGGCCTAGTGTGGGTCAGCAGCCTTCTGCCATTCGACATAACTGGTTGGTTATGCCCCACCTTTCCTTTATTTCCCTCTCCCCTAGAAGAATATTAGCAGGCTCCCAAACACTTCCACCATGAGCACAGTGGTCTTAGATGTGTTGTTGTTCTTAATACTTTATTGACTTAGAAAACTTGCAACCTGTTTCACAGGATCCAAAAACGAACCGAATTATGCAGTGGCAGAATATCAGCACAGAGAACGGGCTTAAGCAACTGTCCTTCAGTCTGTCTCTGGAGCCCATTCTGGGCTCCTACAAGATAGTGATACAAAAACAATCGGGAGTGAAGAAAGAGCACTCCTTCACCGTGGAGGAATTCGGTATGCTTGGGAAGACTGCGAAGGGAAAGCCGGTGTCATAAGTTTCTACTTATCACAGGATGAATTCTTTTGAACAAACTGAGGTCCAAATGTGCAAGGCTGGGTTTCATCTCAACAAAGCTAAGGTTATCCACCTAGCAACATGGAACTTCCAAGAAGTTCTGGGATTTTCAGGAACAAATTACTTAGTTTCTCTTATTTAAGTAGATACCACAGTGATTTGAAAGAAATGATATAATCTGTAACCACTCAGTGGTCTAACCTTACATGGAGGGTGGACTCACCGTGACAATGTGAAATCACCAATAATGGGCAGAGACTGATCAGTCAAGCAGCTAGAAAAGTAAATTTCCACTAGAATTTCCTTCCCTTTCCCAACAGTGCTTCCCAGATTTGAAGTTCAAGTAAAGGTCCCTAAGGCCATCACTGTGCAAGATGAAAAAATAAATGTGACGGCATGTGCAGTGTGAGTTATATCTTTTAATTCTTCTAACTTTAAGGATGGACTTGGGCATGGAAACACCCGGGATAATGTCTCATTGTAGAATTTGTGGAAATGTGAAGGCCGTGTCCTTCCCACCTAGAATGGCCCCTGTGGTGTTCCTTTCTTCATTGTGTCCCTTACTGCTCTGCATCACTTCCTGCTCAGTCACTCACTGCATATGTTGCTGATGGTAATTCTCATGACACCAATGATAAAATCAACTGTATGAGGCAGTAAAGAGTCCTTGTCTTGGAAGACAGAAAGGTACTTAAGAAGAAACAGTGAACCATGTAAAGAGAACACAGACACTAAATTATGGCTCCCAGTCTGGCTCCAGCTCCAGTTGCTGCCACCCAAGTTTAACTATAAAGCATCTGGGTTTTCTACTTGCATTTCAGTACCTCATAAATAAGGATCTTGTACTACAGCAACTAAAACTGCTATTTCAATCTGGGATCCCAGGAAGTCAAAGCCCTGGAGAAATTTGCAATTGTGCCCAAATCAGACAGAAGAGGCACACCTTAGCTCACATTGCTTGTCGTTAAAACATTCAAGCTTAGAAAAAAAATGATAAGAAAGAAGGCAAAAGACTGAGGTTTGTAAAAATAGTAATTTTCCCATGTTCCCATTCATCTCAGCTCCATCAGTTTAGGATCTTGATTTGGTTACTTAATCTTTTTAGAACATGGGGGGGGGTGTTAGAATGTCTCCAAAAGTTTCTTAACCGGACTAAATTCTTAATAAATATAGTTAGAAAGTGTCAAGTGGTAATAATGGTCCATCTTTACTGTCATTATAAAACTAGACAGAGTCAGTTTCAAGTTGGAAGTGTGGACTATGGGAGGGAAGACAGTGAGTCTCTGCTTCAGAAACACTCTTGGTGTGTGTGCATTTATTTTGTGACAGATACACCTACGGGAAGCCTGTTCCAGGACATGCAAAGATAAGTATATGCCTTAAATATCTGCACTTCGGCTTTGAGAGAGACACTATATGCAAAGGAGTCATTTCCCAGGTGAGTGAAAACTGTTCACAGGCCTATTTTTAATATCCAGGTTAACTAAAACAGCAATGCATACAGCACAGCTGAGAGGAAATGCAAAACCAGGCACTGAAAGAGGATATTCTGGACCTCAGGGTGTAGCTCAGTGATGGAACACCAGCCAGGCATGTGTGCACTTCCCAGGAGCCCCTCACTGACAGAGTGATAGTCCTAGGACCCACTATAATTAAAGGGACATTTCAACAACTTGAGCTGACCACCAAATTTATTTTTGTGTAAATCATTGTACAAAATAGTAGGTTTATGACATTTTCATACATGAGAATCATGTATTTTAACCATATTCCCATGACCCCTTGCCACCTCTGCTCTCTTGTGTCCTTACTCCCATGTGTCCTTCTCCTCTTCCTATATAGCGTCCTCTACTTTCATGTCTCATAAACTGTTCTTTGAAAGTATATTTTAATTAGCACATATGAAATGTAAGTAAATTGTGAAAAACCATGGGCTTCCTTGGAATATATTCAGTCATGTGTATCACTTGATCCCCTTGTTCATTACCTACCGAATTCTCTCCATCCCTCCTCCTGCAAGACTCTGACTCTTCCCAAAGAGAACAACTTCCATTTTGCCGTTGTTCTGTTTTGTTTTACCCTCACATATGACAGGAAACATGCACCACCATGTATCTAGGTCTGGTAAATCTGGTGAAAGGTGATCATCTCTGTGCCCATAAATTCTCCTCTTCAGTTCTGATTACCCATTCATCAGCTGATGGGCTCGCTTGTTTGTGAGTCACAGAGATGACAGGCGTGCTTGTGAACAGGTGTGGGGATGCTGACCCAGGTTTCGTTTCCGTATTCCCCACCGCTGACCTTGTGGTACTTTGACTTCTCCTTTTCTGAGGAGCTTCTATACTAGGTTGTAGTCTCACCCACAGCACATGAGGTGTGCAGAGCATTGGTCCTGAGCTCACAGACAAGCAATAGAGAAACCAGGAATGTCAAACACTCCGGGTGTTCTCCTCAACAGAGGAGATGTTTACCTGTTTACCACCCAACAGGGTGGGGACGGATGTAGGTAACTCCCTGCTAATCCGCGTCTGTAGGGCCAGACCACACCCGAATCTACCCAGCCTCGCTCTCTAGACCTTCATCCTGAGCACTGTTTCCCAGTCAGTACAACCTTCCTTATGGGAGATGGCACTTGTACTTTGCAACAGCCTGGGAGACCTCTGTGCTACCTGCAGGGCCAGGCCACTCCTGACTCCCACAGACCTTTACATTCACCTCAGTCGTTCTCAGCAGCCAATGATCACCTGTAGCTGTAGCTCTTGATCTAGGAGTGGGGCTCTGGGCAATTTCCCCATTTCACCACATTGGCAGGTTAACTGGTTCTACCATTACGTCAGTCTTGTTCAAGCAACCACATTGTTGAGAATTTTATGGGTGTGTTTTTCCTGTTGTGTCTGAAAGACACTATTTTTGAAACAGGCTTTCTGGTCTTTTATAATCTTTCTGATCCTTGTTTCATGATTTTTCCCTGATCCTTCGAGGTTGGGGTTATTGTGGAGTTGTATTCGTTGGGGCTGCACACATCATAGGCAATGCTCTGCATTTTGATGTTTGTGGATCTCTATAACGGTCTCTATCTGTTGAAAAATAAGTGTTTGATGACGTGAGACCTACACCTATCTTTAAGTATAATGGCAAACTTCTGGAATATAGTTAAGGACCTATAGCTTCCGGAGAATGGTGGCAGTAGTGGGTTGTCCTCTAAAGTCTCTGTGACTGTCAACGTTGTCCATTTCTTCTTGGTTTAATAGTTGTGGTTTGGGTAGACGTAGAAATCTGTCCATTTTGTTTTAGGTTTTCTAAATTCATTCAATACAGGTTTTTAGTGTTCCCCTAAAATATCCCAAATTTCGTTAATGTCTTTGTAATGTTTCCCTGTAATTTTTGATTCTGTTAATTTTATGGTCTCTCCTTCCTTCTTTCTTTTTCTTTATATCCTTCTCTTTCTTTTCTTTCTTTCTTTCTTTCTTTCTTTCTTTCTTTCTTTCTTTCTTTCTTTCTTTCTTTCTTTCTTTCTTTCTTTCTTTCTTCTTTTAGTTAATTGAGCCAAAGGTCTCTTGACCTTATCTCCTCAAATAACCATCTCTTAGACTCATTGTTTCTTTGTATTCTTTATTTCTGTTTCACTAATTGAGCTATGAGTCTGGTTTGACCTTTCTTTTTTTCCAACTCCTTGACTTGTAATATTAAGTCATTTATTTGTGTTATTTCTTTACCTTTCTTTTTACCATGATTCAAGACTGTAAATGTCCCACTTGGGACAGCTTTGAATGTGTTCCAGAAGTTTTGTGGTATTGTGTTCTCATTTTCATTTAATTCATAATTTTTAAATTTTTTATTTTGTTCTTCTTTGATTAATTTTAATGTTCAATTGTGTATTGTTTAATTTCTATGAATTTATATAACATTGGAAATTCTTTTGCTGTTGATTTTAAGCTTTGTTGCTTTGTGGTCACATAGGACACACTAGGTTATTCTAATTTTTCTGTATTCAGATTTGTTTTGTGTCCCATTATGTGGCCTATTTTAGAGAAACTTTCATTCATTACTTCAAAGACCAAAATTCTTTGGTGTTTGGGGGTACTTAATAGATATCATTTAGGTCCATTTGGTGTATGATGTCACTTAATTCTGATGAAATTCTGTAGTTATTTTTATTGCTTGTTCAGATGCCCTGTTGGAGAAATTAGGGTACAGAAATCAACTATAGTTAATGACTTGGGTTTCATTTGCATCTTGAAGTCCAGTGATATGCTTTTTATGAAAGTGTGTGTGCTAAAGTTGGATTCATATATATTTACAGTTGTGGTGTCTTCTCAGCAAATTGTTCCCTTGATCAGAACAAAGTGTTCTTTATCTCATCTGATTAATTTTTTTTTTAAATCAGTTTTGTCAGATGTTAGAATAACAAATTCTGCTTGCTTTCTGGTCATTTGCTTTGAATACTTTTTCTAATCTTTCCCTCTAAGGTGGTGCCTATCTTTGAAGGTAAAATGAGTTTCTTACAATCAAAAAGAGTGATTTTGTTTCTAAACCCATTCAGCTATCCTAGATGTCTTTTGAATTGAGGTCAATAATATTTAAAATTATCATTGAAACATGTATGTTGATTACTGTCATTTTGTTGTTGTTGTTGCTATTTATATTTAATCCTATTTTATGTTTCAGTAATTGTAGTTGTTTTTTTTTCCTTTAGCATCTTAGCTATGCTTATTCCTGTCTTCAGTTCAAAGTATTGTTTCTAGTATTCTCTATAAGGCTGGTTTGGTGGACATTAATTTTTTTAGCCTGCTTATAGCCTTGCAATTTTGTCTGTTTTAGGATCTTCTTGAGCCTTGTGAGTTGTTTACATCCTCAGCTTTATAAGCTTTTCATATTTCCTGAGCCTCAGTGAGCCTCCTTCCACATGGAATGTTTAATTCACTTGAAATTTCTATACAACATTCTGAAAGTTATTATTTTTGCCCAGATGATCAATTAATGAGTTTGTAGTACTAAAGTCACCAATTATCATTGCCTCTGGACCTGTCAGTCTTTTACTTTGTAGTTTTTTATGAAATTGGATGTACTAACATGTTTACTCCATGTTCTTTTCTGTTTGTTTGTTTTTTTATTCCTTTCTTTCATTGGTAGTGAGGTTTTTATTTCTTGTCATAATTTTGGACTGGTCTATTTTATCAAATATTACTATTGATACTCCTTCCTCTTCTCAGCTTGAATGTTCCTAATCTATCCCTTTCTATCTTTTCATTTCTGTATGTGTGTGTGTGTTGTTGTTGTTCTGTAGTCTAATTAGCTAGACATGCTTCTTAAAGAGTTAAAATCACTCCTCACCCCACAAGGGACGAGCAGTCCTGCTAGGCCATAGAGGAGGACTTCACAACCAGCCCTGACAATACCTGATAAAAAAAGGGCCAGACAAAAGGGGAGGAGGTCCTCCCCCAATCCATAGACTTGGAAGGGGCAGGGAGAAGCTGAGGGAGGGAGGGTGGGATTGGGAGGGAATAAGAGAGGGGAATACAGCTGGGATATAGAGTTAATAAAATGTAACTAATAATAACAAACAATAAAAAAGAGAAAAAAATAAATTAATTAAAAGCAAAAAAAGAGTTAAAATCATTTATATTTCGGGTTATTGTTAATTATTTGCTTATTCCTATGATTTTATTGCATGTTCTGATGCTATTTATCTTAGTATCTTAGTAGTAGAAATAGATTAATACTAATACTAACTAAAGACACTAATAATATAAGCTGAGGCCCATGCTTATAGTCAGAATGCCATGCTGTACAGCAGTAAGGACTCATTTATCTGAAAGAAGTTCTTACATGTGAGTTTGAGTTGATCTTCAATGTGACTTGCCTCAATTCCTTGTTTGTCTCGTGCATATCAGCTAGACAAAAATGGCTGCATCACACTAGAAGAAGACATCACTGTGTTCCAATTAAAGGAAAAATATTATGGCATGCAGCATCTTCACGTGAATGCAAATGTTATAGAAGAAGGGACAGGTATGTAAGTAAACTCAAAATATAGAAAATAAAGCTGTGAAAATTGACACCTGTTCACACCAAGGTGGAGGTTTGAAGGAAGTAGAAAAAGGATGTAGAAAGCAAGCAACTGCCTAACTGGATTAAATTTCCAATGTTCTTGCTAATTTCTTTTTCAGGATTCGAGTTCAGTGGATCTGGAACAACTAAAATTGAAAAAACCACAACCAAACTTGTATTTGTGAAAGTGGAGTCACACTTTAGACCTGGGATTCCATTCCTTATGAAAGTAAAGTGCTTTTGGTTCACAGATGCTTGAGCTGTATGGTGGTTCATCAACCTAGGGCATTCTGGTCAATGTTAAACTTGTCTGACATCACTGGTTGAAAAGCAAGATGTATAACCTAGTGGGAGAGCTTGTATTTCACACACTTAAGTGCATGACTTCAATTCCCAGAACTAAGCTGAAGTTTTAGAAAGGCTGTCTAGAAGCCCAGAATCTAAAACATAGGTAGCATAATTTTATTTATAAAAACTATGTACTTGACAACTGTAAACCCTATGATGTCACTGTGTTTCAATGATGAAGCCACATGTGCTACATATTCATGATAAATCCATGCTCTCCATTAGCCTTGGGTCCCCAACAACTGTATCTTGTGATTGTGTCAAAGCATCTATTTCCCTTAGTCCACACTGACTCTGTCAATGGTTTCTTATGACTAAGAGGTACCTACAAAACATCTACAAAGCATTTATTATGGAGCTAAGAATATGATACCTTCGGCCTCACAGCACAGCCAGTTCTACTGGTGTAGATCTCAAAGTGTTAGATTTGTGTAAAGCAATGTTTTACATGCTGAATTAGTTGGTGCATCTTTTGGGATATTTATAGAATACTGAAACAGGTTTTTCTCTTATAGTCTGTATAGTTTTATCCTTCCTGAACTATACTTTTCTTTCTTGTTCAATTTAGGTTCGCTTAGTGGATGTCCGGGACATTCCTCTCCCAAATGAAAAAGTCTTCATCAAACCACATGAAGCTGGTATCAGTGCTGCTATCACTGATCAGCATGGCCTGGCAGAATTCTCCATCAACACCACCAGCATTGAGAGTTCTTCCCTCACTATCAAAGTAAGTCAAAGATAAGGGCATAAGACACAAGGTGAAGCTGTGTAACAGCTTTGATGCAATAATGTGTCACTTAATGAAAAAAAAATATTCTGGGCCAAACTTTCATATTTCAGGGCAAAACAGAAGGGGTTTCTGATCATTAATGAAAGTATGAGCACATGTTGTGAACACATTCTTCTTAACACAACATTTTCCATAGTCTTTTTTTTTTTTTACTTTATTTTGTTTTTATATATCACAAATCAGGACCTTCAAACCAAAATGATTAAAAGTCTGTTTTTATCTATTCAAGCAAGGACTGGTGCTGTGTTTCCTCAGATTCATTATCTAACTATGTTGTGCCCATTTTCTAAAATAAGAGACATTGATTTATTGTGTAACTAAATATGATTGACATCCACTATTTCCTGCTTTACACACACACACACACACACACACACACAAACACACACACACACACACAAAGAGGGAGACAGAGAGAGAGACAGAGACAGAGTGATTCAGCAAACACGGCAAATGCAATGCGGAAATACAAAAACATAGGAGATTGCAATCTGAAGTCAACTGGGACTAGCCAATGGTTCCCTCTATATCAGAGCTTAGTCAGATATGTCAACAGGGGGAGCCATTTGAAGAGAACCCAACTACATGACTTCCTACCAGAGGTCTCTGAGGCCCTTCAGCCTTTTCTCCTAGCTGGCTCAGCAGGCCCCTCTCTGAGAACCACTGTGGGTATAAGAATTCCAATGGTGTCTTACACACATTTGTGGCTACAAATTTAAATGGTGGAAATTATAATCAACCTTTTAGAAAGAAGTTGAAAACATGTCCCTTTGCAAACAGCAGATGGACATAGAAATAAGGATTGAAACTTTGTGTGTGGATTTGAGTGGAGAAAGAAAAGAGCAGTGTGGCATTTGCTAGGAGGTCAGGCAGGGTCACATTGGTCAGATGGCTTCCGTTTGGGAGCTTTCTCCATGCTCAGAGGCTTAGGGTCATTTAAGATGTCAAGCTTTATCACCTCCAACCCTTCACCTCAACACAACATGTGCACAGGTATATGAGCAAACACATACATGCACACACACACTTGAAAGCACTCACTCATGCACACGCTCACATGCACTGAGAGGGTTTCTCTGGTGTAAGGAGAAACTCAGTCATTATAGGTGTAGCTGGCAAGATCAGATCACGTAGCTCATCCTGTCATTACTTAACCACCCCCCACTTAGGCACATACACAGACTCAGTGACCTGCAGTCAGCCTGCAGTGCAACGGGCATGGTCTTGGCTCTGTTAGTGGCTTAGGTGTGGGTGCTCATTCTTCTGTTTGCCTGTCTCCCTCCCTCGGTCTGCTCACCTGGATCTCAGATGGGACAAATCATTGTGCACTTCTCCTAGGCTTTCTGATGGATCCTAGCAATAGAGCCTTAGGAAAGAGCAATGTCTTCCTAAGTCATAAGAATTCAGTTTCCTTTTTTCTTTCATGGTTTTACTTCAGATTTTCCCTTCTTGTTCTCCCTGCTCCTTTGAGTCTGTTATTTTGCTTGCTTGCTTGTTTGTTTGTTTTTAAAATTAGGATAGAAAGTCACAGTTTCCCTATGGTATTTTCATACATGTTGTTGCTTGGTCCTCGTCCACACAACTACTTCTTCATCCCCCGAGCTGCCCCGCCCCCGTATGTTCTGCCACAGTCATCTCCCTTCCACATCCACATCACATACTTCAGATTTCTCCTGTGTTGTCCCTTGATATTCTTTCTCATACTTGGGCCTCATTTCCTTTCTCTCTCATCTTGATTCTTTTTTTTCTTTCTCTCAGACTCCCATTTTGAAACTTTAGTAATAAATTTTATCTTTATTATTTAACTTACATTGTATTACCCCTTTCTCTTCATTGGAACTGGGGGTATGGTGGGTACTTTTTATTCTTTTTTATTATATACATACACATGCTTTGGTTTGATGTTGATGACTCTATTGAAATTTCCTCCATGCTCCTGAGGTTTATTGGAGATCAGGTCTTTAAAAAGGGCTACTCCTTAAGAAAATTTATTTATAATGGCAGCTGTTCTATATTGATCCCTATAAATACATAAATTGCAACTTCAAAATTAAAGAAATATGAAAAATGAAACAACATAACTTACCCCAGATCTCTTACTTTTCCAGTAACTGAACTCAAAAGTGCTGAAGCACATGAAATGTTATGTAAAATAGCATATATATATATATAAATATATATATATATACATATGTCTAATTTTTACAGTGATTAATGAAAAAAATTGGACACACACACATTGCCCAATGGAATAAAGAAGCAATTATAGAATTTGCCTGATAAATCAGCAAGCAGAAATGCTGAAGAAAATTTTTAAAAATTAAGGTCTGAGAAATAAATAGGTCAATAAGCTAAGTTTAAAAACATAAGTGGAAATTTTCATTAATAGGGTAGAGACAATGGAAGAGAAATACTAGGGATTAAAGCCATTCATGACCACCAAGCCAGCATTGCAGAAGATACTTCTGCAATGATACTACTACTCACAGAAAAATAAGAAAATAGACAATCAGGAGAGCTTAGAAAGAATGAATCTATCATAGAAAGATAAATTAGAAAAAAATCTTAACAACTCACTAACTTAGAAAAGTTCTCAGATGAAGAATGGAGAAAAAAAAAAACAGAGACTATCCAAAACCAGTATGATGTTAATATTAATTTCAACTTGTTAAGATGTAAAATCACCTTGGCAAAAAGCCTTTGAGGGATTATGTAATTAGGTTAGCTTCTAGTCTTGCCTATGACTACTAGAGAGACAATGCAGAAATCCTCCAGGCCTTTGATGTTAGATTGGGACTGCTAAGGCACTCACCCTTGTGGTCTAAGAATGTTTACCCACCCCCAGCCTCTCCTGTAGTCTAAGATAACTATTGTTGAACAACCCAGACCACACTGTAAGTCAATCTAATACTCTTCTGATATGTCTTCATTCTATCAGCTCTCTTCCTCTACATAACCATGATACAACCATCAAAAGTCTTTTTAAATATTGTGCTGTATCATTCAATACTAACTGTAAATATATATGTTTAACTCTCTGCATACAAAATGCAAATGGGAAGACTTTATATAAAAACAATATCCAGCTGTTTGCTGTCTACAAGAAACTCACCTCACTGAGAGACAGAATTGAATGGAAGGAAAAATTAATTCCAACTATATGAAACTCCAAAACAAGAATTAATAACTACATCAATATCTAACAAGCATATCTTGGGCCAAAATAAGATAAAGTCATTGCATTCTTTTTAAATTATGTTTATTTTTGTTAATTACTGTTTATTCACTTTGTATCCTCCCTGTACCTCCCTCCATCCTCCCCTCCCAAAGCTACCCTCCCTCTTCCTCACCTGAGTCTCTCTCCTATTCCACTGGTAAGGGAGGTCCTCCTCCCCTTCCCTCTGATCCTAGTCTATCAGGTCTTATCAGGACTGTCTGCATTGTCTTCCTCTGTGGCCTGGTAAGGCTGCTCCCCCCTTGGCAAGAGGTGGTCAAAGAACAGGCCAATCAGTTCATGTCAGAGACAGTCTCTGTCCCCATTACTATAGAGTCCACTTGGACACTGAACTGTCATAGGCTACCCCTGGGCATGGGGTTCCAGGCCATCTCCATAAGTGGTCCTTAGCTAGAGTATCAGTTTCAGAAAAGACGCCTGTGTCCAATTTTTTTGGTGCTGTTGCTGTCCTTGTGTAGCTCCTGTCCTTTCCAGATCTTCCTATCTCCCACTTCTTTCATAAGATTCCCTGTACTCCACCCAAAGTTTGGCTATGAGTCTCAGTGTCTGCCTCAATACCCTGCAGAGTAGAGCATTTCAGAGGACATCTGTGGTAGGCTCCTGTCCTGTTCCCTGTTTTCTCCCTCTTCCGATGTCCATCCTCTTTGCCTTTCTGAATGGAGATTGAACATCTTAGCCAGTGTCATCCTTCATGATTAGCTTCCTTAGGTGTACAGATTTTAGTATGTTTATCCTATATTATATGTCTAATATCCACTTATGAGTGAGTATATATGCTGCGTGTCTTGAACCCTCCTCCACTGCTGGTGGCAATGTAAATTTGTACAACCATTTGGAAATTAGTCTGGCACTGTCTCAGACGATTAGGAATAGCGCTTCCTCAAGATCCAGCTATACCACTCCTAGGCATATATCCAAAAGACGCTCAAGTATACAAGGACATCTTCACCACTATGTTTGTAGCAGCTTTATTTGTAATAGCCAGAAGCTGGAAACAGCCCAGATGTTCCCCAGTTGAGGAATGGATACAGAAATTGTGGTATGCCTACACAAAGGAATATTACTCTACGGTAAAAAACAAGGAAATAATGAAAGTTGCAGGTAAATGGTGGAAACTGGAAAGGATCATCCTAAGTGAGGTATCCCAGAATCAGAAAGTCATTGCATTCATGAAAACAAATACAACTAAAGGGACAAATAGGTACAAATACAAATTATAACCTCAATATGCAATGTTTGTTAGTAAATGTATCCTTCATTCAAAAAAGTCAAAAAGAAATCTCAGATTAAATTGAGCCTTGTATCACATGGCTTTATCAGCCATCTACAGAACTCTGTATCCAACAGTGATGAAACAGACATCGCCTCAGCAACTGATGAGGGTTTTTCAAAACAGGTCGCAATTTCTGTTATAGAACAAATATTAATTAAAATATTAATTAAACATTAAGAAAATATTAATTAAAAATTAAGTTAATTTAAAGATTTTAACTCATTTCTAGTATCATTTCACGTGACAAGAGACTATAATTATAAATCAATAAGGAGAAACTAGAGGGCATACATGAATATATCAACACCACAGAATACTCTTGACAGTGATCACTGGAATATTGACAATATCAGAAGGGTAATTTTATGATTTCTAGTGCAATAAAAACACATCAGAATTTCTATGTGCTATCATGCATGCAATTCTAAAAGCTATGAATCCCTACACTACATAAACAGATAGCTATCAAATAAAAGACCTTATGCTGTACCTCAATATATTAACAAAATAAGAGAAGAAAAATAGAAAAATTAATGAAAGGAAATAAATAATAAATATAGCTGGAAGTGATGATGAGGACAAAAATAACAGTAAAAAGTACAATGAAACCAAAGTTGATTCTTCTAAAAGATAAATTGATTAGTTCTTACCTAAACCCAAAGAGAGTTAAAACCCAAATTAAAAAAGTAGAGGCGGCTATAACAGCAGGTACTAAAAACCCATGGGATGCTTAGAGAATAATTTGAAAACTTTCATTCCATTAAATTAGAAAATCCAGAGAAAACAAATGAATTTCTGGATATTAATACTCTACCAAAAGTGAGCTACAAGGTTATTTAAAAAAATAAACAGATCAGCAATGAAAAATAGAATTGAAGAAATAATTAAAGGGGCCCAAAAAAATAAAGAGCTGAGACTGGGAAGAACTCATTTCTGAATTGGACAAAACTTCAAAATGAAATATTTTTGTGTAAAACTTACAAGGAAGGAATCCTTTTTTTAGGTCATTCTATGGGTCTAGAATAACTCTGATACCAAAACTAGATGAGGATAAAGTATCTAAAAGTCTTCAAAGTAATTCACCCAAATGACATAAAAAGAAAGTCCTTACTGACATACTTCCATGTCAGAATCAATAACACATTAAACAAATCATGTACCAAGATCAAATTGATTTTGTACTAAGAATACAGGGACGGCTTCACGTTTGAGACCTAAAAACTGTAAAATAGCATATAAATAGAATCAAGAGTTAAAAACCACACAGTCTTCTCAGTGGATGCAACAACTAGTCCATTTTCAAGACACCAGTTACAAATGGTCAAGGAACACATGCAAAAGTGCTCAACACAATTGTCTATCGAGAAAATGCAGGTTAACACTGTTGAAATTCCATCTCACCAATCAAAATGACAATCATCAGGAAAACAGATGTTGGCAGGGCTAAGGGAATAAAGGAACCTATATGTACAGCTGCTGTGAGGGTAAATGAGTATGACTATTAAGTTCAGAGTTTCTACAAAACCCCAAAATGAAACCAGTGTACAGGCCAGGGGTACCACATCCGTGTACATGTTCATGGCATCAACGCTGACATTTGATAGACACATCTCCATCACCATGCTGACCTCAGCAGTGCTCAACACAGCCGGCTGTGGAGCCGACTTCAGTGCCCAGCAGTGGAGGAGTGGGAAAAGAAGAGTGGAAATATGTGCACACGGGACTTTTACTCCGATATTTAGAAAACAATCGTCTTGTCTATAAAGAAATGGGTGGATTTAGAAATTGTCAACTAACAGGAAATGATAAGACTGGGAGAAAAAAAAGCTTTGCATGTTGTCCCTCATTTGTGGCATCTAAGGAAAGGACGAAAATGAAAACAGAGAGGATCTAGCAAGAAGGAAAAGAGTCAGGAGGAAACATAGGGCTGGGTAGTACGGTGGATGAATGTGATCAGGGTACATTATATTAATATATGAAAATGTTTCAGTCAGCCCATCACTTTGCAAATTTATTATGCACTAAAATTCCTATCTGTAAACATCCTTTCATATGTATTAGGTGCTCAATAAATGGGTTTTTTTGTCTCAAAATATAATATTCTTGCCTTCTCTCTCTTCATTGGTATAAATATTTGCCTCAGTTTTGAAAATTTGGGATGTAAGACTATTCATTTCATGAACCTCCCTTCCAGTTTTACTAAGATGTAAAAAATATTCCATCACTGAAAATATGCTGATTCTCAGAAGAGAGACTCTGCCTAGCAGGCAATCTACAGCACAGTTTTTGTTGTTTCTTCAGGTCTACCACAAGAAAGAAAATTCCTGTATTTTTTTCCCTTGCATGGAAGAACTATACGCAGAAGCACAGCATGTGGCCTACAGAGTTTATACCGTGAGCAGGAGCTATGTCTACCTTGAGACAGAGCCTGGCATCTTGCCCTGCAGCCAGATTCACACAGTTCAGGCACATTTTATTCTGAAGGGGCCGGTCTTGTTGTTGCTGAGAGAGCTCAATTTTTACTACCTGGTGAGTTTTCACTCCAAGCTCAGAAATACAAAGAATTCTCTTATCTCCTGACCATGTCCCCTGACACTCTGGGTTCTGGGCTGGGTATTTCTTCCTGGGTATCAAACAGTAGATTCATCAGTTACAAGAGAGCCTGGTAAAATATAGATGTAAGCTTGGAAAATGCTTTTTGTTTTAGGTCATGTCCCAGGGCAAAATCGTCCATACAGGAAGCCACACTCACCACATGGAACCAAGCAAATGTAAGTGTTTTTCATCCAGTACCATGTCTCCATCTGAGTTCCCCACATCCTCACCAGTGGGATCTCAGCACTGAGTATCTAAAGCTGCCATGGGGCTTGTATGTCTCCATAACTCTCTCCACAGTAGGAACTCAAGGTTCTGCCGTCTAATGAAGGTTATCACTCACACCATGGCCTTCAGGAAGAAGTCTCAGATTCCCAAACTGAGTGTCATTCAACATGGTAAAATATCTATTCTCAAGATGTAACACCTGAAAACACACAGTACTCCAAGATACACCCCAAGTGAGGAATTTATGCATTCACATGCAGAATATCCACAACAAAGCAAAATGTGCTATCTGGTGTCTGTCCAAAAATATATGGAGAATGCCAGCCTGGTCCTTAAACCATTGTAGCCACACCCATTTTCAAGTAACTGACTCTTCTGATTATTTTAAAATACAAGTGTGGTGCTGGTGGGTACGTATGTGCGTGTCAGTACAGCTGCTGTCAGGGTCAGAGGCATTAGATGCCCTGGATATCTCAGAGCTGGAATTTCAGAGCGTTTTGAGCAGCCTGGTGTGGGTACTGGGAATAGAACTTGGGTCCTCCAGAAGAGCATCAAGTGGTCTTAACTTCTGAGCTATCTCTCCAATCCCTTTATTTTTATTTATTCTTAGAAAATTACATATATGCATGCAATGACTTTTAATCATATATACTGTCAACTCCCTCCCACTCCTCCCTGAGTACCTCCACCAGGCTCCTTCTCTATTTTATGTCTTTTTTTTTTTTAACTTACTGAGTTCAGTTAGCTCTACCTGAATGTGCATGCAGTATTGGGCCACAGAAACTTAGAAATCTACCAGGCCCACATCCCTGAAAGAAATCTGACTCTTCCTACCTTCAGCAGCCATCAGCTGTCAATGGCGCCTCAGCTAAAAATGGATCTTCATGAACCCCTTCCCATCCATGCTTGAATGTTGACCAGCTTGATGTTGAAGGTCTAGGAGAGGGAATCATAGCTGCGGTGACTTTATGAGTGAAATCACCCTGTCATATCCTGATGGTATCTGTTCAATTCTACCATGAATTGAACAACTGTGACTCTCCTGATCAGGCCTCTTCCACCTGCTCCTATTTAAATCCCAAGTAACCACTGAATCCTGGCATTTTTGGTGCACACTTTCTTGACGTACTTTCCTTCCTGAGTAGCACTTACCACATGCAAACATATTTTCTATAATGTACCTATGTATTATCCATTTCTCCTCCTGCATTATCATTTAGCACACAGATTTGCATATGTAGTTTCACAAATATTTTCCAAGTAATCTCTAGAAGTGGCAGGTACTTAGCAGATGTTCAACAAATTTACTTAAAAAAGGGCTTTCTTGTTATTGACCAATTATAAAAACTATTTAGGTATTTCATAAAATATCCAGTGAGTTCTAGTTATTTCTTCTGCAAACACTAGATGGGACTCACAGTACCTAACTTGAGAGAGTATCAGTCTCCTCACATTCACCAAAGACAGTAAAAGAGACTTTAAATATTGTATAATTTTCTCTCAAGAGGCATAAATACTTCTCATTGAGAAAAAGAGTTTAACATATTGCCAAATGTGGTTTGCTCCTCTGAATAATCATTAATTATCAGCATCCTGAGCACCAGGCTGTCATCTCTATTATTCTTCCTCTTATCTGACTAATAAGTGAAACATCAATTGAGGCGGTTTCATCCCTTTTTATAACAAGAATATCTAACTGCTCCTTTTTGGATGCAGAGCTGTGGAAAAGACAAGAGGTTAGGATATTATTAGCTATAAATAAGCAATATAACTTTTTACAATAAACATCATACTGGAAGCTATCTTAAGTGAGCTTCCTGTGCCCTCCTGAGATATTAGCATGCCAACAACTGACCACAGAGCAGCAGAGATATCTTCCACAAGCAGACAGTCCTCTGAATCTCTGTTTCTAATCATTTGGGTTTTCCTGTCATGATTCTGACCCATCACCATCTCTTCCCAGTCACTCCAGCTCCAGTGAAAGGCCACTTCACCTTGGAGATCCCCGTGGAGTTCAACATGGCCCCTGTGGCTAAAATGCTCATCTATGCCATCTTGCCTGATGGAGAAGTGATTGCAGATTCTACCAACTTTAAAATTGAAAAGTGTCTTCTCAACAAAGTGAGGAGTTTCTTTTATGAAATTTCTATTCAAAATGGTGGAAATTGTATTAAGGACACAGATTTCAGATGTGTGCCCCAGTGGCAAAGATGGGGCAGCACCACAGAACCAGATTTCAATTCACCAATCTCCAAACTGGTTGGAGGTTGAAGAGAAATGAAGCAAGGAAGTGGGGAGCAAGAAAAGGAACTGAATCCTTAATGACTTAGTAATTCAAAGTCTTTGGACTTAAACTTTGTATTGTATTTATCTACATGTGCATATGGACACACACAGCTATTTTTCGAGTCTGTTTGCTCCTTCCACATGTGTCCAGAAGATCAAGCTCAGGTCACCAAGCTTGGCAACAGCTGCCTTTACCCACTGAGCCATCTTAATGTCACAGTTCAAGAACAGTAACCCATCCCCTTTCAATACAGCCCAGCCCACAGCTATTTGCTTCACTCCCCTGCATGTGTTGAGAGATGAATGACAGATGATAGATAGCGAGACAGAGAGGAAGATGGAGGGATGAGATGGAGGGAGAAATACAGACACACCTCCAATTAGAATACTGATTTTCCACCCCAGGCGTTAGGCTTATCATGGAAAGGCCCTTAAAGTTGGGCAACTTCCGGGCTGCAGAGATGGCTCAGTGGGTGAGGGCACCTGCTGTGCTGACCTCAGCTACCAGCACTCATGTGACAGTGAGGAACAACTGGAGGCTCCTACAACCCCAGTGTGTGGAGGTCACAGGCAGGAGAATCTCTGGGATTTGGGGCTGCCAGATTACCTCCGGGAGCACGAGAGAGAGACTCAAGAGAATAAGGACAGTGAGCAGGACACCCACACCCTCACCGGCCTCTGCTGGGTGCATGGGTGCAAGCACCTGCACACATTGGGCATTCCACACTCACACACATGTGTATTCCACACTCACATACATGTGCACACATGCCACACTCACATACATGTGCATTCCACACTCACATACATGTGCATTC